CATAATACGAATATTACATAGGTGATTATCCAAATTTTCGCTGTTGATAGGATTTGAACACCCAACCTACCACTTGGGGGGTTGACAACCTGACCACTTCACTAGGTCGCCACACCCCATTTCAACCTATTGTTATTCAACCTTAATTTCAGTTTTTTCTTCACTTTTACTTATTCTTAATAACCTTCTTGACCTACCTAATAACATGACACAACAAGCTTTACAAAATGCTATACAAGCTATAGCTAACCTTACTAATATTCTAAATAAAAGTAAAAAAGCTCTTATGAAGGCTGACTTCTTTTATAGTGATGAAACTCAAGACCTAGAACAATGGCTTGAAGATTTTTGAAGAGCTGTTACTGCTAACAAGTAGGATGCTGCTCAAAAATTAGAACTAACTTCTGTATACTTAAAAGAAATTACATTAGATTGGTAGTTAAGTCTTAACTTTGCTTCAAATGCTTTTGATAATAATGTTAATCAAAACAAAAGCTTTAAACATCTTTTTAGACTTCACTTCTATATGCTTAAACAAAAAACTATTTGGCAAAAACAGCTTTTTAATATTAAACAAGGCTCAGATACAGTAGATGCCTATGTTAATCATTTTAAACAATTGAAAAGATAAGTTAATTCTGGTAATGCTTTCTCTGCTAACTTTATCAAACAATTATTTATCCAAGAACTACACTTTAAATTTTCTATTAATGTGCAAGCTAGTGAACCTGCTAATCTAAATGCTGCTATTACTACTGCAAAACAATAAAAAACTGGACATATAATGGCTGTTAGCACTATTACAAAAACAGACCAAGCTATCAAACAACTAACAGACCAGATTGCCAAACTTAGTATCAACTTGGCATAGCAACAGCAACTACTCCAACCTCAATCTGCTAACTATACAGCTACATCTAACCCTAACAGACCTTAAACCAAAGATTCATGTTACTGCTACTACTGTAGATGTGCAGGATATTTTATTGCTAAATGTAAAACCAAACAAGCTAAACAATAATTCAACCAAAGAGATAATCATAAAAGAAATAATAGATGCAACAAAAGGTCTTGCTCTCAAAGTTATAACAGATCTTATTATTAAAACCTTTCTAGAAAAAAAGAAAACTTTAGAAAAAGAAGCAGATACTTAAACTCTTATAATATTGATAGATGAAGAACTAGTTTTCACTTATCCTCACCCTACTATAAAGATGTTAACTATCTTGGTTATGAAGATTCTTCTCTTACTCCTCCTGTGACAACATCAAAAAAATATAAACAGTTTCTCAACAATCCTTTTATTCATATAGCTATGTCTGCATATCTGCATAAAGAAGCCAAAAATGCTAATCTAGTTCAATTACCTACCTATACTACCTCTGTAAAATGTAACATCCAACTTAGAAACAGACCCTATCAAGCTATTATCAATAGTGGTACTACTATTAGTATAATCACTTATCAGATTGTTAAAGAATTAAGTCTCAAAATTAAACAAGCCTCTACTAGCCTAATTGTTATAGTGACTAGTATTTCTACATGCCCTTTAGAAATTATTAAGGATCTCTTAGTAGAAATTGAAGGAATAACTATTCTCATCACTGTTGAAGTTGTTTTTGCTACTTCTTACTCTCTTCTTCTTGGTAATAACTAGTCCAAGAAAGTTGGTATCAGCTATAACTGAAAGAATGGTTGTTATTTATTTAAGTAAAATAACAAAAAAGTCTCAGTACCAACAACTTATGAAAGTGATTATGCTTTACCTGCCCAACCAATAGTAATAAATCCAAAAGAGCTTAACTTCTATGAGCAAAAATTCCTTATCTCTTATAAAGCATATACAGCTCAACTTATCTCAAAAACAAACAATGAAGAATAGACTATCTACTAATCTCAATGACAAACCCAAGCTGTCTTATCTCATATATGTGGCAACTGTAAATTCCCTGACCATCTCTTTGCTAACTGCCCTCAAAATACTTGCAACCAATATTACTGTAAAAAACATATTGCTGTCTATTGTCAATTACAAGTCCTTTGAAGAGAAACTTGCAAGAATTATCAAAGCCCTAAACATCTCTATTGACAATGTTCAGAAAATATTTGTCATGAATGCAACTCAATAGAACATATTGCTATTGATTGGCCATTAGCTCCTCTTAAGTACCAGAATCAAACCTATTAATGTAAATGCAACCCTAATAAAGTAGAAGCCCAAAGACAATACTATCCAAGGTTGGGCAACTGGACAATTGGACAATTGGAAATTTGTCCAATGTTCAGTGTTCGAATTGTTCAGTGGAAAGCAATAGATTAAGAAAAATAATCACTGGACAATATAAATTAAAAAATTATAATTTTTTAAAATTTTAAACAAAATAAAATTAAATAAACTAAATAACTAAATAATATAACTAAATAGCAAAATAAATAAGCTTGTATAAAGAATTATATTTGCAAAAAATTACTGCTATTGAACCTCCCAAAACCGATTCTATCAAAATTGATAATCTGTCAATTTAATAAAAAATTAATCTACTAAGTCATTCCTGATATATAAATATAATATATAGTTTATAATGTTTTCAAACTTGGTAATCTTCTAATACTGATACAAACCTGTCTACTATGCATATTGTTTTTGGGAGATTCGACAGTATCTGAAATACTATTCCTTTACTTTGAAAAACAATTGCAAGCAAATTGGCTGCGCTCAGAAACCCAATTATCTTAGTTAAATACACTATCATGCTTTTAACTCAAAAATCATTATATCTTGCTTGCACAGTTGCGTTTTATAATACTGAAAATCCAATGTGGGTTAAAGAACTTCTGAGGTCCCAAAAAAGTAAGAGATGAATTTAAAAGACACAAGGTCTATGCACTGCCAAAGATGATATCCCTTGAATAGATAATTCAGTTTATTTATGATACTATAGAATTGATCAGTGCGACCTTCAAATTTAAGAAAATATCACTACTACATCCATAATTGTAATAATTATAAAAATGCAATAATAATTCATAAGATTGTATTGGGAAACCAATACAATCTCATGAGTTATTAAGTTATTGTTGCATTTTCATAATTATTACAATTATGAATATGATGGTAGTATTTTTCTTACAAAAACTGCATATTTAAAGACTATTCTAATCGATTTTAATCCTATATACCCTTAAATTACATAATTTATATATGTACGATCCACCTACAAAATACATTTTCAAAAAGTCACAAGTAAATTTTCTTATAAAATGGTATAATTACTAAGGTAGGATTAAAATATCAGTGTTATTCAGATAAGTTGTTTTCTATTTCAGATAAAAGCCTCATCCAGGTAGTGTAAATCATAACAGTAGAGTAATTTTTTAAATCAATACCTTTAACTGCTAATATTCTTTGAATATTGATAATTTTGGTTAATTGGCATTTTCATTATTTAAGCCTTTCGTGCTTTTATTTTATTCTTTAAGTTCATAATAACCTTCATTCCAGTAGGCCATTTTCTGAATTAGAATCTGTGTATTACTTAGCTAATTCAATATAATGATCAGAGTAAATAATATTAACTATAAACCTTTATTAAGTGGCACACTATCTAAAGTTCTTTGTCTAGTAAATCTTTCTGACATAATAATTCCAAAGCGATCCTTCCTTATTTATTTCTTATTATGAAAGTGAGAGTTTTAGAGGAAATTATTAAATTAGTATTGTGTAAGCTAATTAGAGATTAGTCGACTTAGTCAACTTAGCCAAGTCAGTTAATTTTTTAGAAAATAGGCTTAGTTGACTCTGAATTAATCATATTCTAAATCTATTTATCATTATTTATTTATATTATAGAACTCTGAATAAGAAATATGCATTGAAAATAGATTCGAAATTCTGTGAATTTAAAATTCAGTTAAGTGGATTTTGGGTCCTAAAACAACTCAGGTATAAATAAAATTTATTATAATATTTTCTATCTTGAAATTCTTTGATTAATATGGCTAATCAAAGATCATCTCTAAATTGATGCTTATATTTTATTACTTAATTAACAAAGCCGATTAAATTATTTTTATAGTTTAAACCTTGAATACTAAAACTAGAACTTACTTTAAATAGCTTTAAAATAAGGTTTTCATCCATTACTAAATTAATTCCAAATTGTAGCAAATAATCACAAACATGAATAGCTAAAAAAAAATCATAGATCTTTAAATTACTATACTAATAAAAAGCAATAAAAGTAATGAACAAACTTAAATATGATACTACTAAACACATGAGATTTTGTTCAAGTTTTTGGCACTTGGGCCTTGTAAAAACAATACTAAGGCTTAAATAAGTGTTTTTTTACTTTTAGTTTATATTTCTTGTTTGAAATGTATTAATTCAATATATTAATAACTTTACTATCTCTATTATAGATATACTGCTTGTCTCAGGGTCATATATTACGGGATTACAGGTAACTTCAATGATCAGTTAATTAATAATTTAATGATGATAGATCATGAAATTATCAGCGAAATTACTATATATAAGGGTGAGTTACGCTAATTCGGTTCTTTACTTTCTCTTTCGTGTACTACCTCGAAACTGCAACATCCAGGGTGATAATTGCCCCTTCACAACAAACACCATTAAATATGGTTATAATCATCTTTATTTTTACTAAATAAAACTCTGTTCTTGATAAATTCGGTCAATATCTAATATTATAATTTAGAAACTAAAGGTGGCAAATTAGATAAAAATAAATTTTCCAATTTCCATTTTGCTGATTGATTTTCTGCTAGATGAATTTCAGAATCATAAAAATCCAATTCATTATCTATCTCATCATCAGATTCCTTATCAGATTCTTCATCCAATTGTTCATCACTTAATAATTCCTCCCATTCATTAACAACAAAATCCCAATCAGTTTTAGAATTAATACTATTATCCTCTTCAAGATTAATGCCACTGTCTGTTTCTTCATTATTTGATTCAAATGTTTGACTTTGATTAAATAAGGCTGATAAAAAATCAGATGACGAAGGTAAATTTGATTGATTGTAATTAAATTTAGATTCTTTAGGTTTTCTTGTTCTCAAAATCTCTGCATGAAGTTGACTCATTGCAATTACTTTTTCATTCTATAATTGAAAGATAATTTAAAATTTATACATTAAAAAATATAAACTAAATATGGGTACTGCAAGGAAAAACTTTGTAATTCTTACTATATAAATAAAAATTCCAGCTTTTTTCTTTGCGGAACTTATATAAGACAAACTTACTTTTAGTTTGTTACACAATGGTGAATGCAGAAAACCTATAGTAGAAAAAAGCCTTTCTACTGAAGCTGTTGTAACACATATACCAAATAAGTAACATGCTATATGACTTAATTCTGGTACTATCCTAGAATTATATGACCACCAAAAAATGATATCACTATTAAATTGTTTGAAAGTTTTTTCAATAAAAGGATATTTTTGTTGCTTATATAATTCAAATTCAAATAATAACTTATTAGGTTCAGAACCAAACCATGCTTTAAAATAATATAATAACCACACACTTATATGCATATAATTAATATATGATAAAGACTGATTAAAGTAATTAAGCTTATATAAAGGATGAAGAACAAAAGAAAGAAGTAGAATTGGTTGTTCCTATGTACTTCATCTTCTTTTGAGTCTCGTAATCATTTTTGTTTGAAATTGCAAAATATCAAGATTTTTAAATACTTGCATAAAAAAAGCGAAACTATGTAAAACATGATGAAGACAAGCTTTGTTTTATTGCATGAGATTAAGAGCAATACAAAAGGGGTATAGTAGATCTTGTAATGTCATAAAGGAATCCCAAAAGGTATTACAATTAATTATTGTTTTAATATCATCCAGAAGTTGTAAATCATTATCAAAAACTAGATTGTCTTTGGCATCGAGAGTCTGTTAAATAAGATTTATTTAGTTAAATTATATAAAAATTTAATATTCTAATTATATCTTACCCTACTCATTCTAATTCCTTTGAGTATAATTAAAATATTACTAATATATCTATTCTAATTATATTCAGAGATTAGAATAATTGAGGTAAGATATTCTTAGACATAATTAGAATAGGTAAAAAATATTTATTTAAATTAAAAAAAATATACCTTTAGTACAGATTTATTTTTTATAATGCTATCAAAGTATTTAAAAAAGCTATTCCACCTTACTAAGCACAGTGTAATAAAATTAATATTTTTTTTCAATATACTTAATTGTTCATTATGCAATTTAGCAGTAAAATATACTGAATGATAAAAGAATGTAACTATTCGAATTGCATTTTTATTTGTATTTTTAAATGAAAGAGACTCCTTAAATAGTTCGCTAATACAACAGTTTGCCTGATAGGCAAAACATGGAATAAACATCTTATCACGCATTTCATTTCTCAAATAACGTCTAGCTGCAGCATATGCACCGGTGGAATCAGTTACAAGACAGTTCACTTTTATATTTAATTCCTTAGCTTCTGCAAAAAGAGCAAGAATCCTAGAAATTACTTCTTCTTGCCATTGTTTTTCCTTACTTATATCATCAGCTCTCCAAATTAAAACTTCTCCTGAAGATGTAATGAATACTATTCTCATTATTTCTTGTTTTACTATATTACACCAACCATCAAAAGCGATTGTGACTCCAATTTTGTTTTTACTGGCAAGTTTTATAATTGATTCTTGTAGTTTATTCGCCGCACTTGTTATAATACAATCACTTAGAGATTTTCTATTAGGCAATTTTAAAAGTGGACTAATAAACTGAAATAATGCTTTAACTTCAAGATTTTCAATCCACTGAAATGCCAAGCCAGCTAAAACAGTAGCATGAAGTAAAAGACACTCAAATTTAGGGATCTCTGAAGCATTAAGTAGACATCCAATATATTGTAATACCTTGGTTTGTTTTTTTTTAGGAATAGAAGTTGATGTTAAAGACGAATTAGCAGGTGAACTATCAAAATTTACTAATGAATTAGAAGAGATATTCTCTTCAACTTCATCTTCGTCATCATTTTTATTACTTAAAGACTTTGCATGTTTTTTTGGTGGTACTGCTAAAGTAAGAATAGCCTTTATTTGTTCTGGTAAATATTTTGCTGAAAAAAAAGAACATTCTCTTATATGATTAGCACAGTAACGTCAGGTATTAGTGAGTTTCATGCTTTTATTATTCAAAGCAACATCCTTTCCTACTGCTTCTATACAGGCCCGGCAAATACATTTTTTATTACTTTTATTTGCCCATTCATTTGGCAATATGTAAAAATATTCACTAAGTAGATGCTATGGTTTTCCTTCTTTATGTCCTATTAATGTTATCGTTATAAAAAAATTTTAATAACAAAAACAATCAAAGTTATGTCCAAACTTGTATATAAATATAATTTATAGACTAATTATTATTAGTATAGTATGCAGTGGTTTAATTAGTTTCTATTGTTGGAAAAATATCACCATCTTTACAATTTAAAACCGGAATAGTATTCAATTTAATTAATTTCTATTATTAGAAAAAACATTGTTATTCATACAATTTAACATATGCAAGGCTCAAGTTCATATGCTTCTTGATGGAGTTGATGAGCTATGTAACAGATTCAAGAAGCATAAATGAACTCTAACTTTGTACATATAAAAGAACTTAATTTATAAAGGCTATATATTATGGGAATTAATTAAAGAGCGAATTTCTTCAAAATCTTGCTCAGTCGGTTTGATTAGGTAATTGTTTATTTCAGCAAAAGCCAAGTTCAACTTTTGCTATGACCTTATACTAGACATATTCCAACGTTCGTTCCTTCATTCACACCTTGCCTCTTTACTTATTCACATCTCCAACCTTTAATTTTGAAGGTATCACAGTACTGCAAGTTTGGCTTAGGTATTTTATTCTAAAACTAACAGAAATAGAGGTTCGATTTCCAAGGTCGAACCTCATATTTATTTAATTTGTCTTGTGCGATTACATCATCATTTTGCTAACAATAGGCTTTATAGTGCCTTTATAAAGTTGTGTCATTCGCATAATCTTATTTCTAATTATAATATTGATCAATGTTTAATTAATTTTGGCCCATATATGTTATACTCTGGATCATCGATCCACATGCATCCAATAAAATATATGTCACTATATAAGGAATTGACTTATTCTGATTAGAGTGCTATGAAGAGAAAGCCTAGCAATCTTATCGAATAAGATTTCAGATTTTCCTTTTGTGACACTCATCTACATTTTTTATATATATATACTATCAAAAGAAAACTAATACACCTCTCTAGCTCTTAAATTTATGATTTAATAGATGTAACCAATTTATTTATTTTTTAAAATTTTTTATAAAATATATCACTGAACACTGGACATAGCACTGGACAATTTGGAAATGTCCAGTGTCCAGTGAAAAAGCACTGGATATATAGCTTACCCAACCTTGCTGCAGCTGGTGGCTGTTTTATTAGTTCATATTTCAAGTTCATAGGACCTTCTATCAGAACTCCATCTACATTTTTACATTGTTTGTATATATTTATAGTACTATCTATTGTTGGGTTCAGAAGTTTGCAACTCTGTTGCTCCAAAATTCTAAACCTTGTGTAATGTATGATAAGTAACCTTTTCAAAAGAGAGTGTTAGATTTGGCTTGTAGGCGGTTAAGGCTTTTAGTTACTTTGGGTTAACGAATGTAAGTTGGGTAAGTCACATGTACAAGAACTTGTATGAATAATGATATTTATGGGGGTTTATAGGGTTTATAACGGTTTTAGTGTTAGGGTTTTATAATGGACGATATAATGTATTAGGACTTGTTTATTAATAAAACAAACTGGACATGTCATCTCTTAGGGCCATTTCGGCCTTTATTTATAATACCTTTTTACTTATAACTTTATTAATTACATTTATCTCTTTAAACTATTTAATTCGATTTCTCTAATTTATTCACTTAAACCCGTTTACTTAATAAATCCCCCTTATTTAATTAATTCTCTTTATCTAATTAATCTCCTTTATCTAATTAATCCCTTTATCTAATTAATCCCCTTTATCTAATTAATCCCACTTCCTTAATTTATTTAATTAATCGCATTAATGCGATTAATTGCTGAGATATCCACATTAAGGATTTGATTGTCGTACCTGCTCTCACGTGAGGTCCAAGCATCTTAATTTTATCTCATTATTAGGCCTCATACTATATACTAATTTTGTGTTCCTATTACTCTGGAATTTCACTGGGATTATTCCTAATCGGGGATTCCTTTGTTCTATTATTATCTTCAGCCTTCTAATTATCGTGGCCTTCTTATGTCAAGTCTGTCACCATTTAAGGATCTGGGTACCAAAGATCTTCCTATTTTCATAATATGCCATTTGGTGTAGTTAATCCGTAATCATAATTCTAACACAGTTTATGTTCCCTATTGGACTTGAATAGCAACCTTGCAATTAGTGACCTGAGAGCATAACTACTTCGCTATCGACCCATAGGTCTATTGTAAATATTTATTAAAATATAAGTTATAAGTTTGTGAAAAGTTAGATTTGTTAAGAGTTGTCTTTAGGAAAATTGCTTGTTTGAGTTGTTTATACAGTGGTATAAGAAAGGTAGTTGTTGTTCATTTTAATAAAGATTGATTTTGATTTTTTTAAATAGAATATATTTTTGGGCTGTCTTGATTAAAGCTTTGTTAATTTGATTTTATATATTGTTGAGTTCTGAGTTTTAAGTAATGTTAGTGATAGATATGAGAAGTAGTTAAAGGTTTTGTTCTGTATAAGATTGATAATTTTCTATTTGTTCATATATAGTTAGTTTTTATTGATATTTAGTTCTTGTTTTTAGTAGTTGCATATTTATTTTAGGTAGGTTAATTGTGAGTTCAAAAGATACTATTGAGTAATCAGTTAAAATAAATAGATTAGATAGGATATTAGCATAATCTAGAAGTATAATATAGATGTTAGTTCATATTTGGTCAATTCTGCTATAACTGTTGTTATGTATGTATGTAAATGTTGAAGTTAAAGAAAAGATGAATCTGTATATGTCATAGAATTGAAGAGATTTGAGGAGTTTTAGGAGAGAATATTTTGGTGTATTAGAGCTTTTGGGTAGTAGTTTATCAAGTTTTGAGCTAGGAACTCCATTTAGGTCTCTCATAAGAACTATTTTATAGTTGGTTTAATTAAAAATAAGTGTAAGATATGAAAGAATATCTTTTTTGAGTTGTTTCTTCTCTTGAGTTGAAAAGTATAATTGAATAAGTTTGATATAAAGGTTTTTAAGAACTAGGTCAATTTCTAAAATAAAATTTTTATAAATTTAAATTTTTCTAATATGCTTATCAAAAAAGTTGAGAATTAATATTCCTACACCATCTTAGTGAACATTGCTGGGTGTTCAAAAACATTTATAATTTGTAAGTTTTTGAAATAAGGTTGAGAATTTTGCCTCCTTAGTAGATAAATATGTTTTTGAAATTCCAAAAATATCTATTTGGTTTTTTGAAATGAAGTCAATTAGGCTAAGTTATTTGAAATTATCTAAAAGACTGTTGACATTAAGTGAGTGTATTTTGATTAATTTTGTAATATCTGAGTTTTCTAACAATGAAAAATTGTTATTAGTATGTATTGTAGTAAAAGGTAATTCTAGATTATGAGGTAAAGTTGATAAGAGGAATTTTTAATATCTTAGAAGAGATAGTATTTTGAATTTTATTGAAAAACAGTTTGTTTTGAGTAGAATATTTTGAAAGTCTAGGAGTTTTTGAAAAAAGATATAATTAAAATTAGCTAAGAGGTTGGTTTTTTGTAGAAGGTGAATATAGGCTTCTTTATAGGTGTTAATGATAGATGTTTTTATAGAGATGTTGATATATTGCTTTAAATAGTATGTTGGATAGTCAGTTTGAATATATTTTAGAAAAGAGTCTATTGATTATGATGTTGGTAAGAGTTGTAAGTTATAAAATAAAAGAAATTTGTTAAAACATATTAAAGGATTATATATTTTAGATAAATTAAAGATTTGTGAATTCTTCATCTTAATCAACAAATTTATCACAAAATTTGGATTCCCTACTGTATTTCAAGATCTACAATTCATCTTCCTACTTCTAACTTATCCTTTAATTCTACTTTGCAATTAGTGCAAACTCCTTCTCTTAATACTATTAGCTCTAAGATTAATTCTTGGTATATACAATGGATTAAATATCAAACTAATCTCTCATACATTATTACTAACACCCAAATCTAGATGAGCCTTGGCCACTCCAGTTGGTTTAGGTTGCAGATAAATTAGTCTGAGCTTCTATTTTTGCTATAATATTTTAAAAGTAGATTTAAACTTTATGTAAAATCTCGGTTAAATATTCAATAAAGATAGAGGCATGGCCTCACCATTAACATTAAAAAAAAAAAAAAAGATTTATAAATTAGTTTTCTCTTTAATAGTATTTGTTGTTGGTGAGTCAATAGTATCATTTAGATCTTCTATTGGTGAGTTCTAGTTGTTGTTAGTAGGGTTTGAGTTTATTGGAATGTTAATAAAGATGTTAGGTATATAAGGTTTTTTGAAAATAGATGAAAAAATATTTTCAGTGAAGGGTTTCTCAGAAGGGTGTGATGAATTCTAATCTAAGAAGTTTAAGTTTTCTTCTATAGATGTGCTTGCTATATACTTAGTTTTTACAGTTACAAAGGATACTATAATCTGCCCTATATATTGGGTTTAAGCATTATTAACCTGATCCTTTATATATTCTGGTATATTGGCTCTTTTGTTTTGGTATTCTTTCTTATATTTTTTTTACTTTTTCTTTCTTTTTTCTTTGTTTTCTTCTGATATCATTCTGTACTAGTTACTTTCTTTTTTACTAATTCTTGTATTGCCTTATTTTTGTCATATCCACAATCAAAATCTACTTTAATCCACAAATTTTCTTGTTTAAAGATTTTTCTAATATCCTCAATATGTTTATTGTCTTTTAACAACTAGCTAATAAACTTTATATATTCTTTTTTAATTCTTTTTAGCACATTGTGTACTGTTATATTGGTTAATAGACTGCTATCTTTGTTGCAATTTCTTTTGCTTGGTGTTTATATACTTTCTTCTAGAGAAATTCCTACTATATCTATTTCTTTCTCAACTTTTTGTTTTCTTTTTTTTTCTCTTTTTTTTTTTCTATTGTTGAACCTTGTCTCAATTCTTTATTATCTATTTTTATATTTTCTTGTTTTGTTTTATTCATTTGTTTTTTTTTAATTTTTCTTTTCTGTACTAATATTTCCTCTTTTATTTGATTTGTGCTTCTAATACTTACCTCTGTTTTTGCTTCTTTTATTGTCAAAAGATTCTCATCCAATAGTCTTTTTTGTTTGTATCTTCTTCTTCTGTTTTTTTTTCAATTTTTTGGTCTTCTTCATGGCTTTTTTCTTGCTTTTCTTTTTTTTTGTTGCTTTTTGTTGTGCTAATTTTTCTTTTTCATGCTTGTCTTTTTCTTCAAGCTCAATTGTTATCACATTTCTGTTTTGTTCTGTCAATTCTAACTCCTTTTCTGGTTGCTCTTTTTCTCTTTTTTAATTAATTCTCTTGTTATTCTTAGCAGTGCAACTTCTTTTAGTTTTTGCTCCGTAAGCATTGCAATGATCTTATTTTCTCTATTTGGCATTATGTATGTCTTACTTAACTAGTTAAAAAATATTTTGTTGTGTATTTTGTTCATCATCCAGTATGCTTTTTTATAAAGATTGTTGATAGACTTTCTCTACACTCTTCTAGTTTCATATTGTACTTATATCTATATGTTTTTGATTAGTTTTCTAATTTTTCTATTTACTTTATTTTCCTTATACAAACTTTATTTATTTGTTGTATAATCTGTTTATCAATTCTAATTTGGTAGTCTGTATATGTCTGTTTTTGT